GACATCTCATGCAAAGTCGCTGGTGACATTAACCGGTGACGCCAAAGTCAATACCCATAGTAAACATATGGACATAACCTGATGTTACGAAATACAATAACATTAAAGTTCTAAATACTGATAATAAAACCTAAATTTCTTAATATAGACCAATACTTGACGCAAACTTGTCGTTGGGAAAAACCATTTGCCCTGTGGAATTTTATTTTATTTATTTATTTATTTATTTATTTATTTATTTATTTATTTATTTATTTATTTATTTTATCTATTTAGTCGATAAACATTGTCTATGGTGTGTGTAGTTTCAAATCTTTGATATTATAACATGTTAACAATTTATTTTATGTAATTCTGGTCGGTCTAATTAACCCCATGGAGTTATTGTGTAGTATTCTTTTTTACTGATTGGCTACGAACGTTAGAGAATCCCCGCCCTCTGGAGTTTTTAGTTTTGAATGAATATTTTGGCGGCTACTTATGGATTCGTGTCACGAAAGGAATTGGAAAACAATATGGTTTTGTCTGTCGGAATAGGACCAATTTACCCAACAGGGACTTATTATGTCATATAGAAAATATCATAACATGCAAAATGACTAAACTATAAAAAAAAAAAACCTCAAGATAAGAAGAACAAGTAAAACTAATGGTATTGTTTAGTTGATAGCGGTAGATAAGTTTAAGGCGGGGTGGGGTGGGGTGCATAACTGTTGCATGAAATCCAACCTATATAATATGAACGTCGTTTAAATGTTAACTTACAGAAGTAAATAAACTCGCCTTTCCTCACAGAATAATATGGACATAATTTGTGTGCATCTACTGTAATCTGATGTTCCAAATCGAATACTGCAAATATCCGGTCACAAATACATTGCAGTAAATATATGAATTTATACTTTCAGTAAATCTTTTACAAGAATATCGCAACAATGTAATGCCTGATTGTGAAAGTGCCATGTTACGTAAACATGGATCGTCAACTGTGATCTAATGGGTACTACATCAAACAATGAGACATCACGCGCATTGGAATCCTGTGTTGAAATAATGATTTTGGGTCAAAAGTTTTAATTATTTCAAAGGATGATAGTTCTTTGATTTATAGTTTGTACGAAAAGGATAATCTGCTTTTAAACGCTAATATTAGTAGTTTAACTTTGTGACTATATTTTACGCACAACAAATGAAAGGTTTATTATCTGTCAGAATGAAAAAAAAAAAAAATTTTTTCTTATTTATATCTATATAATTTCCACTGAAAAGAAAATAATGTGATAAAAATAATCTCAAAAGGGTAATGATTGGTATGCAATTGAAAATACGTGTTTCAAACTTATGTTGAGGATGTCAAATGGGTAATTAATGTGTGCAATTGAAAACACGTTTCAAACTTATATAAAGTTACAAAAATAATAAGATCTCAAAGATTATTTTACGAAAATTGTACTCTCACTATAAAAGTAATCACTGTCCACCAAACGTATAGATACTCAATTTTAGATAATCCCATGTTTAGACTGGCTCCTTTTTTCCACATAATTAGTATCGTAAAGTCCTACATCCACCTTTGTTTTACATGTACTTGACAGACATTTGAATAGTAGTAGAATTCGTATGTAAAGAGTGAGCATAGTTATGCTCCAGTAGTGAATATTAAAGTATACTGAACCCCATTTTTACCAAGTATCAATCGTTCATTTCTGGCAACATTTAAGTATTTCAGATTTTTTCCGTAAATAATAAATATCAAACTAATCTGGCTAATCAATAGTTACGTTTTTAGCTATTACCATTTATCTCGATTCAATGTAAGATGTGAATACGGTATCAGCTTTCGTTTTATGCAATAAATGGAGAATGTAATCATCGTGCATTACTTTCAAAACGCATATTTAAATTACAGAATGTACATTACTTCAGAAAAGACACAATTCAGAACTAAGGTAATATAAGACACAAGCCGTTTAAAATACAGAATATGAAGTTCCAAATTACTCCCCAGTTAATAAATGGTGTCATTAAAAGTAACGAGGGGTCATTAGAATCTGCATGGTGGTAGAATCATAAGTATTAAATCTTAATCATGATTTTTGAACCCAGATCCAGGAAATATTAAATTGTTGACATTAATTACCTTACAAATGGTAAGCACGCTAAAATTCATATATCTATATATTTATATGCACAAATGTTAACTAATGTGTAAAACACTCCGCCAGTACAAACCAATGCTCAACACGCACCACCCGTCATGTGTTTAATTTCCCAATAAAAATAAAAATCTTTCTGAGTTAAAGATAACGTCTTATTTTGCTTATTGTCTATTTAAAGAACCAGAAGGTTGCATCTACGGCAACTTAATTGTATATGCATATATGTGGAGCCCCTGTAAGATACGTGTTATCTAGAGAACTCACGTTACTGATTCAGATCACACTGCAAACGAGGAAACAGCATGATATTAAAAATTTAGTAACTTTTAGTTCTAATAAACGCTATATTTCACAGTATAGACCGTTTGTGAGGAGAAACGTAGAAGTCGTACGGCGGGTTTTTCTTTTCTTTTCTTCGTGTAGTTTATGTGTGTTCTTTCGATAATGTAGCTCCCGAATCGGGTACTATTTAAAACAAGAAATTAAAAGGTCACACACACAGACACACACGCACGCACGCACACACACAGCATGCATATATATATATATATATATATATATATATATATATATATATATATATATATATATATATATATATATATATATATATATATATATATATATATATATATATATATTTATTTATTTATTTATTTATATATATAGTACATTCACGCTGTTTCCTACACGTTCTTCTTTCTATATTTTCATTAATACCATGAGAAGTCCTATATATCACTCTGAAACTGTGGTATTTGATGGCATTATAGCACTTCATGTTTTGAACTCACGTCTATAAATGTAGCAGATTAAAGAAACACAAGGCGTAACGAATTGAAGTCATTCTCAGCAGAAACGAAGAAAATAATTAATTTCGTCCATAACACTCTTTACCACTTATACAATTAGGTCACACATTTTATGTTGCAATGTGCAATTACGGTCCTACCACCCGGTCCCTATCTCCTCCGGCATTTATAAAATAAATAAAATAAACGTTGTTTTACAGTTGGCAAAAATGGGGGTGAGAGAGGACGGAGTGGCAAACAAATAATATAGTGTAGAGAAACCAGACATATATGGCTAGTTGTCTGTTGGGTAACCAGACCCGCTACCCGACAAAGTTTCATTACCTATCCAAATCGTGTATGTGTACTTATGTGTTTCTGTGTGCAGACGAGATCGAATGTAACATGCATTGTACCAAGAGACATAGGTACATGTGCAAGAAATGAAATATCTAAATCAGAACTTTTTTCTATATTTTATATCATTGCTTCAGAAATCACCAAAAAATACCCAAGAATTAATTTAAGCTCAACTATATCAAACCATAAATCATTTGTTTTAAATAGCGCTTTTATACTTTTGGTCGTCTCTACCTCAAAGTAGAATTTATCATACAACAAATGTGAATGCCTTCAATTGTTTGCATCACGAATGTAACTTCACATTAGTAGAGAATAACAAGGCGAATTTAACATACAGTCCAATCAGAAACATTGAATATATATATATATATATATATATATATATATATATATATATATATATATATATATATATATATATATATATATATATATATATATAACCGTATATATAACACCGTATATATAACACCGTATATATATATATATATATATATATATATATATATATATATATATATATATATATATATATATATATATATATATATATATATTACGGTTTCGTTTCTTGACCATTAATTTGGTCTGTAGGTATTGCGATAAGATATATATATATATATATATATATATATATATATATATATATATATATATATATATATATATATATATATATATATATATATATATATATATATATATATATATATATCTTATCGCAATACCTACAGAAAATTAATGGTCAAGAAACGTCTGTGCACAACAATGTGTTAATTAGATATAATATTATATTTCATTATATATGTCATATTTCTTTCATGCCAATTATTATTATTATTGTTAGTAGTAGTAGTAGTAGTAGTAGTAGTAGTAGTAGTAGTAGTAGTTGTAGCATTTGGAAGATTGAGTGGTAAATTTAGAGATAAATGTTAGATAAATAAATACGGAAATGGAAAGACCGACATGCATATAGACTGACTGATATAAACCCATGTTTGATAGACGGATTGATAAATAAAATGTTCCTTGGCAGAAAAAATTGATTTGTGAATGCATAGATAAGTTTCTGCCTTGTGACTTACCTAGAACTATACCACGTAGTAGTGCTAAAGTCGTTGTTGGTTGCTCCATTACTGTACTGTGGATTTATGCCACAGCATCTTCCTTGAATGACATAATTAAATTGCAATTAAATATAGGCTTCGTTATCATAGAAATAGTCATACATTGATACAAATGTAGATGAATTATGTAACGTATTCCTATTGTCACTCACCGAGGTCCTAACAACAAGCAATGCGATAACTGAATTCAAGATTACCATGAGTGGTATGGAATTCAGCAGACAAGTACTATGGAACTGCATCAGCTGACTTCGACAGAGTTTAAAGTGAACAACGTTACGAAGACAGATATATCTATTGCTGGTCGATTATAATTTACTTTGACACAAAGAACGCTGAGTACAAGCTGAAGTACTAACCGTAATACCTACAGACCAAATTAATGGTCAAGAAACGTCTGTGCACAACAATGTGCCAACCAGAAATAATATTATACCAATAATCTCTCTTCAGTTTTGAGACAATTAGTATCACAAACATCTCAGTCAAGGAAAGGTTAACTTTTGACAAGGAACATATCTGGACATTGTTGACACGTTACCATTGCTGGGCCACTTCATTGACTCGGCCGAGTTTCGAACCCGCGACCTCCCGCATCCGAGGCGGAGGCTCTAACCACTAGGTCACCGAAGCGGATATTTCAGTACGTAGTAAAAATACAGAAAAGTTTACCGTAGGACCTAATGAACGGAATAAAGGTAAAATAACATTGTTTTTACATTTTGATTTCCCAATTCGTAAAGGAAATAAGACAAAAATCAGTAAAAGATGTTTGAAAGATTGAATATTGTGTGTATGTAGGAAGGAAGTGGTCATGTAAGGTTTGTATACAGATTTTGCTGACAGTACAAACAGCAGATGTACTCATAGACATGTACTCAATTTGCTTAAGAAATGTAAAATGTCCATTGAAAAGTTAAAACGCAAGCATAAGCAAAGTTAAAAATAATCTGTTTACAATCTCTAGACCTAGTTGTTCATTGGATGAAACTTGCTGACTAAACATATTTTTTAAACGTCAGGATATTAACAAACGATTGTAATATTTTAATCAGCTCTGTCAATTATGTTTTGTTGGCCGTTTGGTTTCATATTTTCTACCTAAAGTAATTTTCAGAACAGGTTTCAACGGTTATATTTCTGTATGCTTTTGGACAATTTCTATATTTTCCTATATAGAACTAATATATCACAATCATAAGTCCTAGGAGAAACTGGTATATATTTAATTTTTAAAACATATTCTTTTACAAAACTGCGATTTATTTAATTTTGGCTAATGAAACAACTAAAGGCGATGGTTTTGAAATATAGGAGTATACTGTCCTAGTGATTACACAAGAGGTGGCTTTCAAATACACGTTCTCAATTAAAAATATTAAGAAGTATTTAAGTTAAGCAAGCCTAATAAGACACGGTTTTCTAACTCCACCAACAAAATAAATTGTAGAGCTGATCAATAAGTACTAAAATGGACAGAAGACGCATAATGCGTGGTTTATACAAAGACGAACATAAATGTCATGCAACTCTAAATCATTTGAAGACTGGATGCTATCATGCTATACTTCTACAACACAAAAGGAATCAGAGTCGAAATATTATTGTCAAGCAATCCACTATAGATGAATAGAACCACTAAAGGGCAGTTTTGCTGATAAAGAAAACGGTAAGATACAAATTATTTCAGAAATAAAGTAATGGTGGTTTCTTTGAGGTCATGCTTGTAATTTAAGGTTTTATTGACTATTTCAAAACTGAACATAATTAATATTATGGCTAGGAAAAAGGCATATCTAAATGCAATTTGAAAGCAGTTTTAATACAATAATCATTGCATCAATGTGTATGGAATTTGGTTGCCTATATTGTCATTATATGACTCATATACATAATGTCAGAGACAAGATATGATACATTTAGGTCTGTTGGCTTGTTTGGAACACACCATGAATGACATTATTTTGCTAATGGTGCCTCTTTTCATTGGTTCTCTGATTACATCTGTTACCGTGTTTGGCCAGCGTCTTGCTCTGCATTCACCTTAGGAAGTTGTTCATGTGTATCATTTTTTTCTCTCTCTCGTTTGATTTCTTTAAACTGTGAAAAAATATCCTCTCTGGTATTGTGATCAATACTAAATTGCATACCATGTGTGTTTTTTTTCTCCTTCATTTCTCACTGCACTGTTTTACCCCCATTTGTAAGATTTTAAAAAATGAGTTATCTTTAACAAACTCAAAGTTTCTTTCTCATGCGCCTGAATACCTGAATCTAAGTGTCGATATTCTAGCATTTGTTTTAACTGAAGAAAGTTTCTGCTGATGCATAACTGTTCAACGATTCACGGCATTCCTTCCATTTGGCAGGTACAGACTATTTGCCTTTCATTCGTTTGGTCTTCATCATATTGTCAACATTGTAGATATCATCATTTGTGTTTGCTAGCACAGAAATGCTCTCAATACCCTCTCTTATTGTCTTCCAGTTTGCTTTTTCCTTGATTAATATTTTATTTTTAAAGTTGCCAATATGGTTTTGCATTTCTTAAATTTAAATATTTCACCAGTTTTAAATTGGTGAGTTCCAAAAATGTAACAGTTGTCAAGGAATTGATGAGATTGGTCCATATTTCCTTGATTGTTTCAGCCGGGTTCACGTCTAATGATGAAAGTTGTCATATCCATCATTAGCTTTACCGAGGTAGCGTCATAACAAAGACTTGTAAAAATGGCACTAGCAGCTGTCTCGCTTGGCCATCGGCATTAAGAAGTTAGTGTTAAGACTGATCGACCTGGTGTAGAGTATAATGTTGCTGGGTGGGACATGATGCTAAATGTCTGCGGCATGATGCTCCAGACTAAACATCACTATAAACTGCCACAATCCAGACATCGTAGCGATAAGATTGAAACATTGTTAAAGCTATGTTAAAAATATAAATCACACACACACACACACACACACACACACACACACACACACACCATTTTTATGCTTAAATGTCAAGACTATAAACCAGTGAGTAACATTTAGCCAATCTGGATAGAATACTTGCCCTTGACTTACTGTGTAGAGAATAGGTAGATTGACAATTTACCATTTGTTTTTAACATTGATGTTTTATTTGTCTCGCTTAATTTAATATCAGAACTGATTGATATTTGTAAAAGCAACTGTACAATATTAAAATGTCATTACTACTAGCATTAACAGTATAGAAATGCCTCATTTTTGAATATTTCCTGTGTAAATTTAATAAGGTAGACTTTTCCAAATATTAATTTGTACTATGAAATTATTACTGGTTAGCCTGTTATGAATTTATTTCTAAATATATAAATAGTCAATAACCAAAACATTGATCCATTCTTCAAATCCGCGTTCATCGTTTTAACTTAATTATGTGTATTTGCTTGAGATATGTATTCACATATTATCATATTATCTTTGATTAAACGTTAATTCTGTTCTTACAGTATATTCATGGAAATATTTCCAGGTTACATGTACAGATACTTTTTTGTCTCAGTGAGAGTAAGTGTATTTTCCTTGATTACAAATGATTAATGCAATCTTTTGAACCATTTACCTCATAAAAATGTATTGTTTCAGAATTTTGCTCTTTGAAGTATTCTCAGAAAAGATCGAGCATGTCGTCTAACATTTGTGTTTTATCTTTTTAAACCCTGGGATATTTTGATAAGTCATCAAGGACTATATACACACACATACATACATACATACATACATACATACATACATACATACATACATACATACATACATACATACATGCATGCATGCATGCATGCATGCATGCATGCATGCATGCATGCATGCATACATACATACATACATACATACATACAGACAGACAGACAGACAGACAGACAGACAGACAGACAGACAGACAGACAGACATACATACATACATACATACATACATACATACATACATACATACATACATACATACATACATACATACATACATACATACATACATACATACATACATACATACATACATACATACATATATTGGTTGCTTTTATGCCATTAATGTCTACCTGCCTGTTTTATTCCGTTTATTTTCCCCATGTTAGAAAGATATTTGTGCAAGCATCTGAACGTTTCGGATCGAAGCAAAGATTTCTTGAATACTGTTCATTCCCTGACATCTAAAACAGCATAGAACACCCAAAGAATATAATAAACTTGAAGCATTGTCTTTAGAAGTTATCAAAGCGCAAGCAAAACATCAATCGAAAAAGAGATCTTTTTCAGACATTGTACAAGTATCGACAACCCAGTCATAATTAAAAATAACGTAAGGTTTCTTGCATATTTTGTCATTATTATAGTTAATTCAAAAACAGATACGTCATCTACTGAGTTGCCTTGTTCTATGTTTAACATATTTGTTTCTTGTGTTCTCTTTCTTTTCTTGGAAGCGTTCTAGTGTGATCTTATATTGTTTGCGAGATCTTCGAATATTACTTTAAGTTTAGTCCTGTAGAGACTTAGTATATTTGATGATATAATTCACACGAACAACCCACCCAAAACGCAAAACCTAACTGAAATTACTGAGGAATAAAATTTACGTCATTGGTAATTGCCTTTTTAAATCACGGTGATGTCTTCATCATTTGATATATACCGAACACTATGTTTTTTTTCTCCAAAATCGATTAAGTTTTGAGTGATCTTTAAATTGTACTTTAAATTGCGTCTAATACAGATTTGCACATTTTCACAGTTAAGATATACAAGCAACTCGCTCTACGTACAAAGAATAATCAAAATTACAACAAGATGCAATTCTGGTCATGTTATCCAATCATAAATGAGAGGTTCTAATTCTTCAGAGCTTGCAAGATCTAAGAAACTGACCTGAATGCAAAATCTGACCATGTGTAATGAGTGGAGGGAGATACAGCTGGACAAGAGCAACAATATCCATCTTCCACATTCAAACAATGAAATATTACGGTTACTCACCTCCATGAACATGTAGTTGAAGCCCAAAGAAAGCACACTGCTGGAGAAAGGCCCATCGTAGGCTTTAAACTGCGTTATCAACTGCCCTTTGAACCACTCGTTCATCTTCCAATGCAAAAGAAAGATAATGATCATTGTGTGCTCGTCAATATTTTATAGCACGTGTAAAGTATCTCTTTTTATTATTTTAATACGGACGTGCAATGTTTCATACATTTTGCTATATTTAATTTCGTTATTGTATTGTTGACAAGTTGATATGCCTGTCCTCTTTTAATTTGTTTTTCTCAGTGCGTGGTCTAGAGATTATAATTAAGTCTGAAGATTTAGATAGAACATGCATCAAAGTCAGAAAACGACCATTGACAAAAAAGAAAATACCAGACACTTGGAACAAAGCATATTTGTTCCCGCACATATGCGAGGAGGCTCCTACCTTGCCGTACAAAGACACTGTGATCCCAAGTAGACAGAACTGCGTCAGCATCAACAGTACATTGATTATAACAACCTGCAATAAAATGCATTAATCATTTGCTGAATCAATCTATAAAACAACAATAGATTAATCAATAAAGCAAGCAAACAACCTATAAAGCAATCAATCAATAATTCAGTTATTTTAA